CAGCTTGTTTAAATTCATCTTAATAAAGTTAACTTACTTCTCTGTGGTTACTGTTAATTTTTTTTAAATTTAACTAGACTGTAATATTAGCATTTGTAGATATTTCACATTTATAGTTTTTCTAGTCCTTCAAATTAGCATGTGCTGGTAATACATTAGACACAGTTAAATAATTGTCTTAGTAAAAAATAAAAATTTACATAAAATTTTGTTTTCAGTTTACTTCCTTCAAATTTGTGGTTACCTATTGAGTCACTCATACTTTCATATTTTGTCGATTAAAATTAGTGCATGGAATTACTTACTTTCTCGTATAAAACTGTTGGATTAATATTTACAGGCTGAACTAAAATAATATCTTGACGACGTAAAAGTGTTTTAAAACCAAAAATTCTGGAAATTAATTATTCTTTTTGAAAACCATGATAGTTCACATGTAATATGAATGAATATTGCATAACATATTCACCCACACTACAATAATTATAGCCTACTGTATTTACTAATAAAACTTAGCAATAATAATTTTGTTTTAGACTTTATTATTAAATTTATAGTTCACCAGAAAAAATTGGTTCAAAAACTAAATATCGTATACTAATTAAATGTATTAAATAAAATGTCCTAGGAATGGATGAAGTTTATTTTTTACTTTAGACAGTACTAATATTTTACCGCCACTCTTGAAAATAGGAATTTTAGCGAAATTAAAGCTAGAACAGCTGTACGTACGAAATATATTTGTTCTTATGTCCCAATAATTATAAGACACAAAATCCTGGAAATATGACTGACTTTACAACCTTAGTTAATGTGAAAATAGAGATAGAGTAAAACTAAAGAAATCGAGTAAAGCTTGTTACTGCAGCATGAAAAATCGTTTAAAACAAATTGTCTGGGTAGCCAAGTGGCTATAGTGCCGACCTTCAAATCTGCTTTGAATTAAAACATGAAATAAAAAAGTTAACTAATATTAATGGCACAGACTCTTGATTTAAACCTTTGAAAGTCGTAGTCAAATTAAAATAAACTGTAACGAAAGGCAATGAAATAAAAAATATTCACGAAAAAATCATACGTTTTTAAAAGTTAATGTAAAATAATTACCTGATGTGAGAGTCTAGTAGTAGCCGACGACGGTCATGTTGACGTTAGTCCTCTCCTTGCCCATGATAATAGTAGTCTGATGTTTCGTTGAAGGAAATATCTGATACAGTGACAGTCAGCTGAGCCTTATATACCCACACTGACGTATCTACTGACCAATGAGATAGCAGCGTCTGCATCAGCTGATACAGTACTTGATACTTTGAGGTTTTATCTGTGGTTTAACTTAGAGTTTAACCACAGATAAAACACACTCCAACAACTTTTGGAACTTTAAGTTGTCCATGAAAGGCTTTTAGCTGGGAATTGACTAGTTTTCAAGAGGAGGTGCTCGATTCTATGAATAAAATTGTGTTTAAATGTTACTCACATTGTTGTCTCTTCTATAAAATTCTTCAATTATAAAGTATGAGTTTATTGTCTATATGATGTAATGTCATATTTAAATCTTCTTGTTCTGATTGATCGAAATAGGTTATATATTGTAGTAAACGAATTGATACATTATTGTCCATAAAGGTCTTGATCTTAATAGTTTAGTTTATCATTGTTTTAACCATGTAGGCTATTTGCAAATAGTATATTCATCATTTGCTCTGAAACAAGAAGTATAATTAATATTTCATATGCCATTTATGTTTAATATGCGTAATGATATAATTCACCATTTTAAGTAAAAAAAAACCGTCCCCATCAAATATATTTATGCATAAACAAACGTATATCAACAAATTTGTATTATTCCATATTCTTTGTTGCCACTAGTATTATTATTACAATCTCAGCCCAAATTTCATATAAGGTAGTTTAATAAGTGTAAAATATCTTGAATGTTCATAAAGGTTATTATTCCAACAATATATAAATGTTATGTTATGTTATGGACAACACATTTCCTTAAACAGGAGGGAACATACTATTCCCTGTAAAACAGTAGTCTGTAGAAGTGTATTTTGTGTTTAAGGTAAAATATTAAATACCAGATAGCCTGCAATAGTTATTTGTGCAACTAGTGAGAAAAGTGAGCAATTGACTCACTCGAGAGAAATCCTTACTCACGAGCCGTAGGCGAGTGAGGAATTGTTTCTCGAGTGAGGCGATTGTACTTTTAACTCGATACATACTTTTCCTACAGTTACCATAAAACCATAATTTGTTACCATAATTTGTGAAGAAACATAACCTATTTTTGCACAGAAGTGAACTTTTAATATCAAATTTAATGTGAAGTGACAAATACAACAGTACAACAGCTGACCAGCTGATTTACAGCCAGTGCTGCCAACGTATTTCGCGCGCATACGACGTTGACTGTATGTTACGCGCTCACTATTTCGTGCCTTCACGTTGCAAATCTGGAGTGAGACAAAGTAATTAGAGTGAGACAATGTTAACATTGTCTCACTGATGAGCGAATTGGCCACTTTGCTTTCTCAAATCAGTGAGAGAACATGTACATTGTTAGGTAACTGTAGGAAAACGTATATTTCTTTTCAGTATTTCAGTAAAATTGGTAATTTATTAGTCCGATAAAGATCTAAAAAAATGAGATATATCAAAGTTGATTGTTTGTATAAATTTTTAATTTAACAAATTCAGGTGTTCCTCCAACGGAGGAATCATTAATGTGATTAGAAAAACTTTTTATTGATCACACAATCAACAGCTAACTGGAGCTACATTGTTCTGTGGCCTCTTAATAAAATTCATAATAAGGTGTATTAATTAGCACACGTTTTAACATTAATATTCTTGTCAGTTTCGTTATTGTATGTAGTATATAGCTTAGTAAATACTTGGCAGATGCTATCTCACTATTGCAATGGTTAGAGTACAGTCTATACTAGTGTATTTGTTATTTATTTTGTTTCCATACTGGTTACTCAACTTGACACTCGGTCAGTTTATTCTGGATTAAATACTGTTGTATACTGTGTATCTAATGGGAAACATTAAATAATTTTACCAGTGAGATGTTCGCAGAGCTCCAAGGAAGATGAGTCACATTTATAATGAAATAATAATTTGTGAATTTACCAGCAGACAAAGAAATTATTTAAATAAACCTTGCAGAGTTGCCTCGGTCTGGCGATGGGGAAGGGTAGGCTTGCATGTTTGATGAGGACGCCCGCCGGTCTAAGTGCACGATATTCGTAATCTGGCCACTGTTTTTCAGAGGACCCTGTATTTTGTATGTTTCCCCAGGGAAAAGCAGAAAGTCCACATTTAGTAAAAGTGCATTTTTTTGCTCCATTCCCTCTCTCACGTTTGGATTTTTATCTCGTATGAAGCTTTAATTTTTTATTTGCGGGTTTGTCTGAATTAGAGTTCTTCTTTCCCCTTTTTCCATCGATCCCTACCTGCCATTTTGGTCAAAAATCTTGTCCATTTTTTACGCTCTCAGTTCGAGCACTCTTTCATGCTTAAATTTATAAACATTGTTTTAACTGAAAAAAGCTAAAAATGGGTAACTGAAGAAAATTATGTTTATATTTATGAGATATTCTTTAAACAACGATTACATTCCGATACTGATAATAGCTATAAAAATGATTTGTTAGAAATAAAATTTATTTTTTTCTCTTGGAATAAAAGGGCTCACGAAAATACAAACCGTCTGGCATTTCTCTACAGTAATTGCTACGGACCATTAATGGTGGTTTTGAAACCAAGCTTTAATTGTTTATGACTAATATAGAAGTTTATTTTATTTCAATTAAAATAGCCATTAAGATGGTTGAAACGTTAAACGTTGCAAGTGTTCAAAAGACGTGTTTCCTCAAAGGACAACAATACACATATACATCTTTTCACTCACTTCTTAAATGACTATAAAATTATTGATTTACTGGGTACTAATATTAACTGATCGATCGTATGTTTAGGTTACCAACATTCAACTTCCAGTCTCTGTGCACAACCGCCAAGAGAGAAACCGGGATTTGAAGGTAAATGTTTTCGTTATTGCACACTAAAAAAAACTTAAACAGCCTTTTTCATGAAAAGAAAAGTGTAAAGTAACCTCTTAGGAAATTCTAGGATCTTAAATCTTATATATTACAAACGCTATAGAATAGTGCGAATTGCGCTCATTCTTTGATACTGCGTTTACCATACAATAAGTGGTTTCAATTACGAAGCAATATTTGTTTGTACTAATTTTACAAGAAATCTAATGCAAACTGATTCTTTTATCAGTCTAACTAAAGCATGGATCTTTACAGATGTTTTAATTGTAGGAAATACTACAGAATTACAAAATGTGTATGTTGCCAGAGTACAAGCGGGACTGTAGTGGATGGTCTGACCCTATCAAGCGAGGTTCTCTACAGCTTTAGCAGTTCCGGGTGGCGCTACTAGATGACCACACATGTAACTGCTGTATTGAACATAGTTGTTCACAAGTCATGAGTATGTTGCCAGAGTACAAGCGGGACTGTAGTGGATGGTCTGACCCTATCATCAGTCATAGACAACAGCGAGGTTCTCTACAGCTTTAGCAGTTCCGGGTGGCGCTACTAGATGACCACACATGTAACTGCTGTATTGAACATAGATGTTCACAAGTCATGTGTATGTTGCCAGAGTACAAGCGGGACTGTAGTGGATGGTCTGACCCTATCATCAGTCATAGACAACAGCGAGGTTCTCTACAGCTTTGGCAGTTCCTGGTGGCGCTACTAGACGACCATACATGTAACTGCTGTATTGAACATAGATGTTCACAAGTCATGTGTATGTTGCCAGAGTACAAGCGGGACTGTAGTGGATGGTCTGACCCTATCATCAGTCATAGACAACAGCGAGGTTCACTACAGCTTTGGCAGTTCCTGGTGGCGCTACTAGATGACCACACATGTAACTGCTGAATTGAACATAGTTGTTCACAAGTCATGTGTATGTTGCCAGAGTACAAGCGGGACTGTAGTGGATGGTCTGACCCTATCATCAGTCATAGACAACAGCGAGGTTCTCTACAGCTTTGGCAGTTCTTGGTGGCGCTACTAGATGACCACACATGTAACTGCTGTATTGAACATAGTTGTTCACAAGTCATGTGTATGTTGCCAGAGTACAAGCGGGACTGTAGTGGATGGTCTGACCCTATCATCAGTCATAGACAACAGCGAGGTTCTCTACAGCTTTGGTAGTTCCTGGTGGTGCTACTAGACGACCATACATGTAACTGCTGTATTGAACATAGTTGTTCACAAGTCATGTGTGTGTATATTGCCAGAGTACAAGCGGGACTGTAGTGGATGGTCTGACCCTATCATCAGTCATAGACAACAGCGAGGTTCTCTACAGCTTTGGCAGTTCCTGGTGGCGCTACTAGAAGACCATACATGTAACTGCTGTATTGAACATAGTTGTTCACAAGTCATGTGTGTGTATATTGCCAGAGTACAAGCGGGACTGTAGTGGATGGTCTGACCCTATCATCAGTCATAGACAACAGCGAGGTTCTCTACAGCTTTGGTAGTTCCTGGTGGTGCTACTAGACGACCACACATGTAACTGCTGCATTGAACATAGTTGTTCACAAGTCATGTGTATGTTGCCAGAGTACAAGCGGGACTGTAGTGGATGGTCTGACCCTATCATCAGTCATAGACAACAGCGAGGTTCTCTACAGCTTTGGTAGTTCCTGGTGGCGCTACTAGATGACCACACATGTAACTGCTGTATTGAACATAGTTGTTCACAAGTCATGTGTGTGTATATTGCCAGAGTACAAGCGGGACTGTAGTGGATGGTCTGACCCTATCATCAGTCATAGACAACAGCGAGGTTCTCTACAGCTTTGGCAGTTCCTGGTGGCGCTACTAGACGACCCCAACAACGCCTCCTGTATTGTCTGGACCGGCCGAGGCATGGAGTTTAAATTAGTAGAACCTGAAGAGGTATTGCATTTAGTGGTTATTTTTAGAATATTAAACATAATGCTTAAGTGGGGTTAATACTAATAGCACGTGAATGATGATTTTGTATTTGCTTAGTAGTATAGAGGTTTCAAACATGAAGGATTGTTTGTGGTCAAAGAGTTTACTTCCCTGACGCCCAAGATTATATTGTAATATTGTATTGTCTTTTCCCGTGTTAAAAATTATAATAAGGACCAATATAATATTCCCTAAATAGTATCGAGAAATAGGTTTCTCCCACTCTATTTTTTGATTTCATAACTTAAATCCTCCCTATGTTTTATCAAATTAAAGTATATATTTGACAATTGCTTTCTGAAGCTAATTTTTTTTAAATTTTAAACATACCCTCATTGTATTTTATAGCTCTTTTGAATCTATTTTAAGGTTAATATGTATGGTTAGAGAACGTAATCTTACCAAATTATCTTTCACAGGTTGCCAGAAGATGGGGTGTTCAAAAGAACCGGCCAGCAATGAACTACGATAAATTGAGCAGGTCGTTGAGGTACTACTACGAGAAGGGCATCATGCAGAAGGTAGCAGGTGAGTTGAAGTTTTATTAGTGACATAAAACTATATCATCTCATTACGATTAATGTGAAAAACTAAATAAGTCATAAATCTTAAAGAGGCATAATAAAATGACCCAACTTGGATTTACTTCACAGAGATTATCAGTGAGGCAACAATTTCTTCAGTTCTCCATGTTGCAAAACTTTGATGCAACATATTTTAGATATATTCACTGGAATTGAAGCGTTTAGCATTTATAAGAAGTAATCAGTTTAAAAAAAATGAGAGCAGAACTGTATGTAAACCTTCACTTCGCAATTAGAGGTATTAAAAATCAATTTTTAACAAGTTGTATAATAACTATAAGAATGTTACTACAGATGCTCTAATTTAAGCACAAAGTTTACTTCAACGTTATGTTTTTGGGTTCCCTAGTGCAATATATAAACTCTTCGATAAGAAATAGGAATTTTCGCAAACAAACGCTTAAATGCTAAAAGCTAGTTGGTTATTTGGGAAGTAGGTCTATTATAACACTATTCTGATGACAATTATTAGTACCAACCTAATCAGAGTGTCACGCCATGAAAACGTGAGATCACCACAAGTAATAAGAGTTTTGATGAATTATACCACATTATATATATTTTGTAATGTAGATTAAATGCAAATAGTGAGTGTGATAAGTACCATCATTCGTTGTAGTTAAAGTTTTAAAACTCGGTGTTACACAATAGTCTAGTTTAAATCAGAAAACAATACAATAGTAGGGACAGTTGTAACAATAATATTGTAAACACATAATATTAAATTTTATGTCTGTCGTGCACAGAGTGAATACTAAAACGTATGAAAATAATTTATTTTCAAGTAGTTTGAGTAAGCATTATAACTTTTAAAATAACTGAATTGTCTCAATTACGGTATTTGTTTGTCGTAAAACGATGTTCCGTACATACAGTGCATCTAACCTTACAGTTTGTTCCAGGGGAACGATACGTGTACAAGTTTGTGTGTGATCCGGAGGCGCTGTTCAACATGGCTTACGGGGAATACTCACAATCCAACCGGTCCAAGGGGGCAGACTCGGGACAGGAGAGGACCTATACCGACATGTTCACTCTCTACGGAGCATCTGGGGGCTACGCCCACCTGCAGCAGTACCTGGGGACAACGGAGAATGGCCAGGGAGGAAGACGCCTGAGCCACCAGCAGTACCCTGACCAAGGCTCCGGCACCAGCCACCTGCAGATGCTACAGAGCTTCACCACCGACACCCTCGACACCCAGCACAGGAGGACCCTGCAGTCTCCGACAGACGACAGGGGCGGGACTGGGTACAGGAACCTCCAGTCACCGTCCGAGGACAGGGGAGGCGCGGTGTACAGGAACAAAACCTTGATACAAGAGTCCTCCAGACCCAGACCCTCAGAGACCTCCCTTCTCGATAACTCCTCCACCTACCAATGTCTCAGCGTCGGCAGTTGTGTTTGTTGAATCCCGTCTGTCTTGTACATTCATCGTAATACATGTTTATATTTTATCCTTGTAAAGTGTAACTAAATTAAAATTCTTTTATTCGTTATTCTTGCTTTATTGAACAACTCGATTGCCTAAAGTATCAGTTTTATTTAGTTCTTTCATTGTTTTGTGCGCTTAGATGGTCTGGTTTTTCTCGTAAAACTAATGGGTTTTATTATACTATCCAACAAAAGTATGTTTTATCGAATTTTCTATGGTGTATTCGATCGTGTTATGTTTTAGGAAATGTTAAACGTAACATATGGGATGAGTTTCCAAATCTTGGAGTCCCATGAAAAAATTTCTTGTTATCCAAATGGTCTATCAAGTTTTTTAATAAACAAATTTCTAGATAAGACTAACTCAGTGCTAATTTCTATTGATAAACACATGTTTTATGTACATTTTTGAGATCCTAAATATTTTTTTAAGGTTTGAAACGATTACCTATCACTAGAGTCAAAGTAGGAGTTAAAGATTCAATTAACGATACAATTGAGGACTTATTTTAAAATTGAGTACATGTAGCATAAGCTAGATTAGTTAGTCGTTGGGATTATGTTGTTCACCCTACTAAACTCCGGCGTGAAACATTTTTTATTCTGTTAGTAAAGAACCGAAACAGTTTTTATTTTAAAATCAGTGAATCCGTAACAACAGCTTTGAAGTGTTAATCACTACAATAAAACCTTACCAAAACATTGTGGAGGTTAACTTGTTTGTTATGCACCGTGTTTGATAAAGTTGTCTTTTTACTTTCTTGTAAGTAACCTTTTACTTTCTCCCCCTATACATTGTATATGGAGGAAGTATTGTTTTCGTAAAAATTTTTAAGTTTGAGTTTTGAGTGGATATATCCGTTCCAAAAAAGTGGTTTTCGAAGTGATGTCTATGTGTATGTGCTTGATTTTAACGGTGATTTTCCTATAAAAAACCCAAAAATAACAGAAAACTCAGATTTTCTCGAAAATGACCCGAAAGATTTTGATAAACATTTAGCATGTTTGTAGCGGTTGTAGCCCTTTAAATTATGAATAAAATGGTAGAACTCCAATTATTCCTGTAAAAAATTACGGTTCAAAGTAATTGTAAATAATGTCATTTTCCCATAAAAACCCATGAAAAAACGGAAATTTTTTTTGAAAAAAAAACCTACTCTGATTGAAAATGTTCTGTTATTGTCCTGACAATTCTAAACAAAATAGTGCAACTCTGTAACAAATTAAGGTTCAAAAGTTAATGCAACTTTTGTGATTTTACGTGTTAAATATCATAGTTAGTTACTGACATCGCTTACTCATCATAAAGGTTGTTGACAAGCTAATGGGAGAAAGTATGTGTCAGAATGCTGATACCGTTTATTTTAAATTATTGACGTACTTGGCTCCCTTTGAAAAACACGGTTAAGACTTACCTTTCTTCATTTGAGTCAGTATTGATAATACGTGTGGATACGTGCTTGTTCTACTTAGTAGATTGAATCATTTTACGTTACACTTAAATATGCCAGTATCACCTTGTCTGTTAAGATACAAATGCCTTATCATGAATCCTAGTATTTGGATCCATGTATTACTGATATCATTGAGCTTTTGCTTGAAATGTTAGTAATTAAATGTTTTTAGTAATTATAATTTAAAATAGTTAATAGAGCAGGGTCTTATTATTTTATTTTACAAGTGCCTTAAATGATGATAGTCACAAAACGAAATTTTAAATAAGAGTAGGCTTACTATTGTTCTTCAAATTTATAAACATGAAAAAGGAAACATTCGGACTTTATTTGGTGTTGAGTTTTAAAATTAGTATGCCTTTGTATATAAACATACTGTGTGATGCTCAAGATAAAAAATGCATCCTATTGTTAATCCAAACTTATAGTACACATAAATCGATATTGCACGAATGGATGTAAAATACACTTTCCAACCATAATAACTAGGCGAGTGCTAACTATTCATGTATTCATCATTCAGAGGTTGCTGAATTTGAGATTGATATTTTACATGGTGTCTAACATAGTAAAAACAGCAAAAGTAATTTAAATATAATATATGCATTAATATAGGTTTCAAGGAGGAAGGTGTGGATTTATGATATTAAAAGCAATCCATACTTTAAAATTTTGAATTTATTAAATATGTAATAAAAAAGCCAATCTGTTGTAGGGTAGTCCAGGGGTTATTCTCGTAGCATCGTGTTGTCCGTGTCCAAGTCGTGTCCGTGTACAAAAGCCGAGACGTATCCGTGTTGTACTAGCCCTCCATCATCTGGAACACGTTTAAAAGTTAGTTGAAGAGGACACATTTTGCTGTGTATTGTTACCTACCTAGACTTATTACTGACAGCTTGTAAGGGTCAATTGGTTGATCTCATCTAAACTGTGGAATGACAACCTAATTACAGTAGTCAAGTAATTAGATCGTAGCACATCTCCGAGTTCGAATTCTACCATTCAACAAGGTTATTTGATACATACTAATGTCGTAGCCCCGTGAATTGGAGCCAACCTTAAGCTTTAGGCCAATCAGAGATTACAGGTATCAAAGACTACAAAACTGTATTTCATAGAAGTACCCTCCTCCCACTCAAAAAGTATAGTTTGGCTTTCACTACATATTTTTATGTAAATAGTTAGGTTGGCTTTTCAATTTAGTTATGTTATAATTTATATTTTTAATAATGTTTTAATATTATATCAATGCAGTAAACATCTTGTTTTTGACAGAACGTTTTTGAAGATAAACACAAATTTTAATAGTTCTCTGTAACAACACTCATTCTTTTAAAAAGGAGGTTCAATCAGTAATGGCTTAAATGTTTAGAGTAATGGTTTTATCAGTATTATATAATGTTGTTGAGCAATATTTTTACCCCGGTGATTAAAAAATGAAAATTGACAGGACATTAAACATGCGGTTAAAAGTTAAAACGTTGACATTATATGTATCCCAGTAAAAAATCCAAAAAAGTTATAATTTAACTCTTTATCAATTTTCCTAAAATTTCGGGCAAAACAATCACGTGAATAAGATTTAACTGAAAGAACTAACTTTAAATAAATACTAAACTGTTTCGATAAGAACACTTAAAATAAAAAAAAAAATCAAATCAAAGCATCCTTTATTCATTGTGTACTCCCTGAATATACATAAATAGTGTAAATAATACTAAGTATAACACACACAACTACTTATAGTAACTGTGCAATAATCAGCGGAAATATTATTAGCCTAACAAAGTTTGTTTCATAAAAAACTAAAATATTGTTACTATTTTAAATTATTTGAGAGAAGATGCAGATTCAATAGAATGAGCCAAACATTAAAACTACCACAGTGTAGTCGGGCAAAAAAATGAAATAAGACGATTTTTGTTTGGGGTTTAAGACAGTTTTGCAACTAACTTTGTCATAATGTTGTTTGAACTAAAAAATATTTATAAATATTTTGTTTCATAAGTATTATAAAATGTTTGTATTTAAGTACACAGGCTAAGAAGGGTAAGCATGTTATTAATTTTTAATATATTTTCACATGAATCTCTAAATTAGGAGGAATAAATAATCCAAATAATTAGTTTTTCAATTTAAATACTTCATAGCTTTTGACAGATTTACTCCAAATAAACTTTCGTAGTTACGAATAGGATAAACAGATCCTTAGTACCGTTATAAAAGTGAAAACATCGACTAATGTGGATGGAATAAGAATTGCGAATTATGCTTTATTTATCTTTTTTATAACTTCTGCAATGTGAGTTTCTCATTTTAATTTATGAAATAAAGTCATTTATGAAAAAGTGGTACATTCTGCAAAACTACATGGTAGTAGAGTGGACAAAACTACAACAAAAAATCTTTATTGGGTAATTTTTTGAAAGTTCATTAAAAATGTACTTGGATTACTTCAATAAAATTTAAGTTGCACAGTACCCGTTATTTCAAACATAGTAAAACCATAAGTAATGCTAAAACACATGATTATGAAACCAATTAAAATGAAACATGTTGATAACCAAAGTATGTAACTCAATTTTTAGGTACCTGATGTGAGAGTCTAGTAGTAGCCGACGACGGTCATGTTGACGTTGGTCCTCTCCTTGCCCATGATAATAGTAGTCTGATGTTTCGTTGAAGGAAATATCTGATACAGTGACAGTCAGCTGAGCCTTATATACACACACTGGCGTCTCCACTGACCAATCAGAGCGTTGCGTCAATATGGGCTGATTCAGTAAAACCTTTACTCCATTGTTTGCTTCATTCATGAATGCTGTAGATACATCTGTACTTTTTTATCAATGAACAGTTTGCAATGTCTATTACCACTACACATTTAGTTTTTTAGTTTATATATCTCAGGAATATATTTAATTTACTTTGATTCCTTGTAAAATAAATAATGGTGGTAATAAATTCCGAGGAAGGTCCAAAATAATGTTTTCACCACAATACGATGTTTTTAGCCGTTTTACAAACGTTTTTTAGAGGCCGAATGCTACGTACTGTCATTGTATTGCTGTCTATGGTAGCTGTCATCGACATTTGGGGACCGAGCAGGTTTTTACATCCCTATGGTCGAATATCAGCTGTTCACTTACTTTCTTAACGTGAAGGTTTGTGTGTGTGTGTGTGTGTGTGTGTGTGTGTGTGTGTGTGTTTCTTTGTTTAAAGTTCAATCACTCACTACTGGTCGGATTGGGTTGAAATTTGGTATGATGTTAGCTTACATTCCCGATTAACATATAGACTTATTTCTTATCTCTAAATACTTTAGGGCTCCATCCCAGAGGCCCTGGAGTTTTCCATGTTAACCTGATGAGTATATTTAAAAGAAATTAAAGTATTTTTTCAGCTGGTTTAACTAAACAAGTTGGTTCTAAGATATCTAATAGCATTAAAAAGTTATAAGGATTACCAACAGGGTGCAGCACTATTATTTTTTTAGCATTTATGACAACAGCTAATTTGAACC